ATTTCCTTCTCTTTGTTTACTCTGTTTATCTTTTGCAACTATCACATTGCACAGTCAGTGTCTCTCGATCTCATCTGAGGATAGCACTTTTGTTATGTTACAGTAAAAAAAAAACTTAAACACAAGTAGTCTACACACATGCTCGAAGTGTGTGATGACTGCCTGACAGTTCTCTTCTGGTCTTTTCTTTTGCTGTTTCATGTCTCCCTTAAGGGCGGGAGGAAGGATGAGATATATCTATCATGCGGTCAGAAAGTGAGAAAACAAAAACTCACGTTTCACATTGTTCACACAGTTGAGCAGAGAGACGGGTCACTCTCTGGACTATTCTGAAAAAAAAAAAAAACCCCAGTGACATTAGGACAACACCGGACAAATGTCGATAGTGATGACGAAATGGCTCATCAACTACAATGTGAACTGGCAGTACACAGAGGATGCATTCCAAAATATGACTTTAAAAAAAAATCTTTAATGCAGACATAACTTATACACCACAAAAACAAGGTAAGCAGGATTAGTTCCTGCTCCTTGGACTGTTTTGTATCCTGTCTGCTTAGGATAACAACACACTGGAGCCAGACTGCCGTCCCCTAACACTGGTCTGGAGCAAGCTGCGAGGACAAAAGAACAAAAATCAACACAAGAAACAAACTGTACATTTTTTAAGTGTAAGAGAACAAATTGGGATTTGTAAATATTATGTTTGTTGTTTGGTTTGAGTGATTGGCTGGAACTTTTTTTGTGACAACAGGTGCAAGTTTAGGTGACTTAGATGATTTTAGCACTCATATGTATGTTTGATTCTCTTCTAATTCCTAGATCTTGAAGGCAAATTTCAATAGGATTTGAGCACATGAAAATACAGCATGGTTGAGGTTATGTAAACACAAAGACGACTGCTTGCATTAGCCTTAGACATTGTGGTGATTACTGCATATATAGCTGCCTAAAGCAAAGCAGGCACGCCTGGTACTATCCCATCAATCATGATGGCAGCTTTTGAGTGAAATGAGTCTTTTTATTGGTTAAAAAGCCAAAGAACAGCTGCAGAGGACATATAGTATGAAGTATAGAGATATGGTTGTGATTTGAGAAATAAGGCAGAAAAACAAGAAACAGGGAGGATATTTCAGTTGTGCTCAAAATAAACCACAAATCAATATTTTTTTTAAATTGTGATGCTGTTGCATTTAACTTTTAGTGTCACACGTGGTTTTGAGCATTGTTATACAGCAGAACCCCTAATTTGGAGGTTATGACATTCTTTGTAGTGTTTTGGTCTAATTTCAGGCTCTAATCATGGTGGTTGTTTTGCTGCTGTACCTTTTGCAATTTTGTCTGACACATTTTGTTTATGCGATTACTGACTCAGCATTTCAGTGCAAGTTTGAGTTTCCCACACTTTCCAAAACTGCATTAGAAATACTTTTTTTATTTTTTGAATTAAGGGTTTGGATAGCCAACAGTTAATGGAAGCACACTTGCCAAGTTTACATGTTTACACCACAGTTTTGATGTTGGCTTATGGTAAGGGGGAAAAAAAGAAAATAAATCCAAATATCTTCTTATTACAAGGTTGGAATGGTAATGTGAAGGCTTGCACCTGTTTGTCTGTTTCATTTTGTCTGATTCAGTATCCTGCTTGAAGCTCAAGATACCGTGGGCGAGCATAAATAACCAGAAGGGGTTGGAAGTTAATATTTCTATTTCAAATAGAGGTCATTACACACTATATGTTGTGTATTTGAATGGGAAAACATTAAAAGACATTGTTAAATAAATGCTTTGCTGCTACTGTTCTTTAGTTTTGTCACATGGTCAGAGAATTGATATTGAAATTGTAGCTATTACATACATTGGCCACTTGGGGGCAGGAGAATACCAAAAGTTGGCACTTAGCTTAAAACTAGTTAAACTGTTAGCAGGCAGTTGCTTGTTTACACAACCAGTAGAGATACAGAGTCACTTTAGCTTTATGAGTCGTGTTTCTGGCCATCTGCTAAATGTAAGTCAGATATTCACATACTTTTTGCTCAATAGCTTTGGATTTGTCTCCACCAAAGAATGAGCGCAACACATTGGTCTATAGTTAGCTGCTTATATCTGACAGCTTGCTAGCTTAGTTGCTGACTTTATGGTTTAGTAGTAGTCCATTATTGTTTTGTTATTGTGTTTTCTAAAGAAATAAGCAACTGATGTGGCTGCCAATGAAGAACAGCTAACACGGAGAACAATATACTGTACACAGTAGACAGCACTCAGAGAGCGCAAACCTCTGTCAAGGCAGCTCACTGTCCCTATAATGCCATTACACCTAAAAGCAATATTTCCATCATAGTTTAACCCTCATTAGTGTACATGATTCACTGACCATGAAAACCTTCTATTAACATTTGTAATCACCCTGTTATCATTATTGGTTTGAAAGTTATTCAGGAGAAAGGAAATATTTCAGTAATGCAGCTTCAGGATCCAGCTCTGTATCTTTTGAAGATACAGCAAATCTGTTAAGACCCTGTTGAGTAGTGTTTCAGCTAGAATTTGATCTTAGTTGCAAGACTGTAGCATCATTTATTGTCTCACAGTAGTAAGTTTTCCATGAGCCCTATAAATTTGAACATTCATCACCGCCTGTGGAATATTGAATCCAGAACATACTGTGGTTTGTGGTAAACTTTATGTGGATGTTATTGTGCAATTTTTGTCCAACTGTTATGTAGAAATGAAAATACTGGAAATGACCCTATCTCACAATGGTAAAGAATCCCTTAAAAATTCCTGGTTCAGGATCAGCAACTAAATCTAATGGACTGCTCTGTGGGCCATATTCTACCCATCCCAACAGTTTCATCAAAATCCATTCATTACTTTTTGAGTTACGCTGTGAACAAACAAACCAACAAAAACAAACACTGGTAAAAACATAACCTCCACTTTGGCAGAGATTATGACCATGCAACATGATTTAAATTTTGTGGCCAACTGTTAGTTTGTTACTGTAGTGTGTTGGGTACAGCTCTGAGAACATCACAGACCTTTTTTTTGTGCAGGTCGTTAATTTCTACTACAGTATCAGCTACATCATCATCTAATACATCATAAAATGTATTTTTACAGTGGTCACCTCCTCATGATTTCATTTTCCAAGTAACAAAAGCTCACAAACTAACTTTCATTCTATAAGATCTTTAAGTTTAAAGGGTTTTAATTTCAAAGCCTATAACTTGGCAGTTCCAGTTTCATGGGGGGAGTCATCCTCTGGTCTTTATGTATTCAGCTGTTGTACACAGTAAATCAATATTACAGCAAATATCCTGGAAAAGCCAGATGTGTCCCAGTGGTCTTGTTGGAAAACAAAATTGTTAATCTATGGCCATTCATTCATTCATATGAACTAATTGAATACTTATTTTGCCACATGGCATGATGTTGCCCTGGGGCAAAAGACCACTATTTTGGCCCACACATTGTCCCTTTAAATGTTTTTAAAGTAAAAATCACATTAAAAGCCTGATGCTAACTCTGTGACCAATGAAATTTAAGGTGGACAAGGATTTGACCTTTCCTTTGGAGGTGGAACAGTCCTTTCTGAGACCATAGCCAGCTTGGACACACTGCTAGCAAACGGTAAGATACAGTAAATTTCACATTTTAAAATGTTTAAATTTAAATAACTTTGTACAAATAATATCTGTGATGTGCATGAATATGTGAAGAAGCATATTTGATTGAGTAAAGGCAGTTTTTGTCTTTATTTACAGTATATACTAAAATGGTAGTTTTTCATTTGTTGCCTCAGGGCAACAATGTGCAGTTAGACCACTTTTGTGTGAACAATAACATGCTAATGGATGGAGATGTGCAGGGATGCATAGTTATCACCATAGTCAAATTTCTTTTGCTGTACTATCTACTATTACTGACAAGAAATTGATGAACATTTTATGGGTGTAAGGAACATGATAGAGCAGTTAGGCTCATTCCTTCCTACAGTGAGGACAGTGAGCTTGAGGAGAGTGACAGTGAGGAGGAGTGGACCCCACATTTTATGATTGATATATTATCAGGGACCCCCAAGCTCCCAAAAACTAGGGTGAAATATTGTTTTCCTCCTAAAATAAAAATTCATGCCATAGAGGGATATATTTATTTCTGTGTTATCATTGGTGGTTAAGTGCTTTACCTTTCCAAAGTCGCAACTTATCCTCTAATCAACTGGTCACTTTTCAGTTACATCTGTGGTAATAGATTGACTGTTGGCTGTTGGCAAAACAATGATAAGTTACAGATGTATTACAAGAATTGTTGAAAGAGGGAAATGCCAAAACTAACTGTATAACATTTTAACACTTTTTAACTTTATTATGTGTCCATGTTTTAATATGATTTTAAAGTTGTTTACTTTTGGTTTAGAATAACTGGATTGAATTATTGCTGCAGTAAGAGGCAAGTCATTAGACCCCCACTGGGTCTACTAAGTCATATGGATGATGTGCACTGTTTTAATCATCATCATCATCATTTGTTTTTTAATAACATCAGCAGATTTATTGTATAAATGTGCTTCAGATGCACTGCTGTTTAAATGACTGATGCACATTGTAATGGCTTTGCATTTATCTTTTGCACTCAACCTAATTACCTGTGCAGAACATAAGCACTGTAAGCAGTGGAAATACCTTGCTGTCCTCACTAGATGGCAGGCTGCAGCTATAATGTATACCCATGGCCAAAGTGCTGTATCAGAAAGTGACTAATTATGACCAAAATGAAGCAGCCTGCTCTTGATGTCAGCATGGGAGGAGGCAGATTATGGCCTAAGAGTCGAAAGACATCTTTGTCTTTAGAATAGAAAAGTCATATATCATCACCATCACATGAAACCAACAACCAGAACACTGTGGGAAGTCAAAAATGCCTTATTCACAATTTTTACATTTTTCATTAGCTAGTATATTCAAATATTATTACAGTATCACTCTGTTTTAAATAATAAAAATATTAATATGGTGAGTTTGTTAGGGTTCTCAAATCCTGTTGGTTTTCTATTAAAACCTTAAAGAACTCTACAACTATGTTGTTATATCAGAGGACTTTCATTACAAGTGAAGTAAATGATTAAAGGCAGTAAAACCCATCAGACAGCCATAAAAGTAAAATCCAATTTTTAGAACTGACCAAACATTAAAACTCATGTATGCCCCAAGGATTTGAAGAAAGGAAGTTGATTCTAAATTTACTATATGTCTAGAATACTTCTATGAAGAACATATTACAAGCATGTGAAGTAAAGGACCTCAGCTTTTAAAAGGAGGGATCGTTGGTTATTCTTTCTTTTTGTCTCACACCACACTTATTATTCTTTACAAAAATTAAAAACAATCCAAATTCAGTTTTTTTTAACAAATAATATGCCTCACATAAAAGTAACACAAACACAATATAAGACAGAGAATTAAAGATATTTTATTACCACACATTTCCGTATTGCAGTTTCTCTCCCAACGAAGTTTTCTTTTTAAATTGTTTTGCATAAGGAGAAATAAGGGGAATAAATTTTTAGTGCAATACATTTTAAATAGCCATTAGAAAGAATAAGGACAATATCTGATGTTTTTATTAACTTCAGCAACAAAAGCACAACTGACTGCTGATAAGTAGACTAAATAGAAACCGCCATACGCAGAGAAGGTGTATCTGGCAGAGCCTTCAGATGGTGTGTTGCAGGTATAGAGGAAGGGGTGAGGGAGAGATGCAATTGTCGTAGAAGATCTGAAGGTTCTGGTCAACATCCATATTATTTTTCAGAAATATCTCAAGTTCCTGGACCGACATTTCATGAACGCTGTTGCCCTCTTTAGCGTTTTTGGCCAAGGCTGCGTGGGATGGGAAGCGGATTCGAACATCATGGGGTGCGTTGCGGTCGTAGTCAGTGCAGCAGTAAGCGGACCACACATCTTCAGGGATGGCCACACGGTCCTGGTTGTTGCGACGGATCGTGTTCCCTCTGGTGGTCACTCCGGTGACGATGAAGGCAGTGCCACGGCAGAAGTTGTTGAGGCGGACGCGGATTCGCTCCTCATACTCACGCCAAGGCCCGATGTTGAACTCCCGTATCTCCGGGACCACATTGGTTAGGGTGTAAGTGGCAGCGCGGTCATGTGGAGTGGACTGGTGCTGGTCCGGGTTCAGGTGAGCTCTCTCATAGAGAACCACGTCGGAGTAGTCATCCAGGACCGCCTGGCTGTCCTCAAACTTCATGTGCAGGTAGCCAGTGGGGAATGGCAGCATGTTTCCATTTCCATCGATTTCTGCCAGCTGGGAATATAAAAAGATCTATTAGAGTAGGTTTTTCCTACTACAGCTCTGCTGGGAAATAATACAACGCCAGTATCTGTGAGGCCTCTGAGCGTCCACACTGACTGATAGCGCTTGCTTCTATTCTCTATTTAGCTGCAACAAAGTGTTCTTTGAAAGAGATTTTAACATATGTGTGAACTACCTGATCCAAGAATAGATATAATGAATGAAAATGAATGTCTGACCTGTGGCTCGTACATCCAAGGGTAGTCCACACGCCTGTCTCCTTCTGTCTTTTTGAAGGTATAAGCTGAGTAAACTGGAATCCTCTTGTGAGGATCATACAGGGTCACATAACGAGGTTTGTCTGCATAGCGTTGGCAGATCTTCTTCAGTTGGGTTTCGATGATCCCTCGTGGTGGTGTCCCCATGTACAGGGAGTCCTTGCACCTCTCTACATGGTTAAAATCTTGAACAACTGTTGCCGATATTAGAGGCAAAAAACTGAGGAGCAAAACAGCAAAAACAAATGACGTTAACATACTCATGGTCAATAACGTCTCCTCAGTGTGTCCTACTGTGGCCTCCTCTACAGAACAATGACAGAAAATGTATCCAGTTATAATTTAAATGTCCCAGGGGAGATATGCAAAATCCAAAATGAGTAGAGTGTCACAAGTGTCCTAAGACATGGGTGTGGATGTGTAGGTCACTGCTTTGCTTTGTCCTACTTGAATATTATTGTACATTTAAGGGGTTTTTTTTAGGTTTTAACAAATGGGTCTGTTACATCATCTCCATGGCCATTTTAATGACCTTGAAAGGTTTGACCCTGTGAGTTGTTATGGTCTGACCTCTGGGATGGAGGCCAGCATATCATAATGATGGCAACCTATACAGCAACCTACTGGACCACCGATTCCTCTAAAGGCTACATTGGTATACTACATTTGACATTTTTCCCCAAGTTATTTTTCTATACCTTAGTACCTCAGGGAATTCATAATAAGCAGTAAACCTGTTCTTAACACCTGCACTAACCCCTCTGAAAACATTTGTCTTGGTAAGATCCTTTTCTTCTAATGTAAGCAGATCATTTTACCGCATAAGAGGAAGAAACTTTTTTTAAGCTGTAATTGAAATCATTCTCATAGAAGCCCAATTTCTGCTGTGTGTTGATGAAACTAAGGATATTGAAATGTAATGGTAAAATGCAAAGCGCTCTAATCTGTCTCAGTGATAAACAAAAGGCCTACAGGGCCCAGTGTGGTTCAGAAGTTCTATGCTACTCATTGTGAATGGTGGATAAGCCAATGGGCAAAAAAGAGATAAAGCACAGAAGTTGAACCATGACATAATGACAGTGGACAAAGCAACGTGTGTGCAGAGCTGCCTGCTCATGTTTGCTACTACATAATCATAGACAGTAGTAAAATAAGTAGAGCAATGATGTTTTGTGCTGGTGGGGCACGTTTATATCAGGTGGGGAAAATGATTTGATTGGAATGCGGTGGTTGGTGTTTTATTTAATAAGAAACAAGCTTATTATGAATGATATATAAAATAACTAGGAGGAAGATGACTGATATGAAGAGGCAAAACTAAGAAAATAACCTGTATTTTCATAGACAATCAAGAAACTTCAGTAGCAGTGAAGTAGAACTATTTCAGAGCAAATGGCTCAGTGTTCTGCCAGAATGGATGCTTGACCTATTTTGGCAGCTCACTGTACCAAGCAGTTAATCCATCTGAAGCACTCTTTCTATTCTTAAAGTGTTTTGTCTTTAGTCCTTCATTACAGTTTTATGAAGCCTGTTGGGTATAATGTATGTCCAGTAACAGAAGGATCACAGATTTATCAACTCATCAACCATATAGTATGTTTTATGAACTGCACTGTCAAAGTATCCTTGATCTCATTACACATGCTCTGAAGATGATTATCATCCAAATAAGTGATTCCCAAAAAGTGGCTACTGGTACCCCAGGGGTACTTCTGCCCTGGCTATGGCAGACATTGAAGAAAGATTGAAGAGTAGCTCAGGTTTCACACATGTTCGGTTGGCTGTTCTTGAATATCTGGTCTAATGAAAATATGCATGAAAGGTAGTTAACACAGTGAAACATTTTGCCAAAAGTAATAGATAGAGGTAGTTAGCTTAAAGTAAGACATACATGAAAGGATAAATAGCTGAAATGTATAAAGGCTGAAATAGCTAAAGGTAGTGGATGAATTTGCAACAAAAACAGTATCTAAAAGTAATAAATATTTGAAATACACTGTGTATCTAAGAATGTTTTTCCTATTTTTAAAATCGCTTAGGATGAACACATTTGCAACATGTTCGGTGATGTTGATGAAGGGAGTGCTTGAACTCGTCTTACAGGGCTGTGATGGTATGGCTGACAAAAACAATTGGGAACCACTGATCTAAAAGTCTGTAAGGACATCATATGTGCTACTCAAGTAGTTGAGGTTTCTGGTGCTGTCCTGTAGCTACTGCCCTCTGCTCAGGTCAGGCTTATACAAATGGGAACTGTTTGTCAGATTAACTGGAGCTGTAATCCTTCACTGCAATAATAAGTCAGCTGAAGTGACTGGATGTTGCTACTCATTGAGGGACCGGCTGGCCTAGCTGGCCTGATCTTGAGTTATGACAGTCATAACCTATGTATCTGAGGCTGATGATGCAGTTATGTGAACAGACATTTTTCAGCTGACAACATTTTAACTAATTAAAATTATAAATTCAGACCAAATGCAGACCCAGCCTGGCTGCTGTCTTCTGCCTGGTCTTCAGTAGGAGAAGAAGCATTTTACCTCTGTTTCAGTAGAAAATGTAGCTAGTTCTGTGTTATTCAGGTTTGGAAAGGTGTTCAACAGTGTCAGATTTAAAGACATGTCTGACTGGAATTGGATGTGCCAGGTTGTTAAGAGACAAATTCATGATTGAATGTGGTACAAGGAATCACACTACACTTATTACACATATGTTATATGTGTAATGTAATGCATGCCTACCTTTTACCAGTCCCATTGTGATTTTAGCCACACGTCACCCTTTACTGTACTTAACCAAAAATGTTGATGCTCCCAACAAGTTGTCTTCATGTTCTGCACACTCATAAGATCCAGAAGGCCATTATACAGTAGTACATGTTGCCCGCATGGAGGCAGTGCAAGCTTGTTTGTTGTTTGTTCCCATTTCATGCTCTATGCTGATAAATACATAATGCATAAAAACATACAAACTATTTGTATTTCAGGGTTGATACATACAGTATATGATGACTGATGAACTTGCATTAATTTTCTGTAAAACAAAGGAGACACTTCTTTGTGTATACTGTATACAGCTTGCTACTTTGTTTAGTTTTTAAATTCTATTTTTATTTATCTATATATTTCTATTTATTTTTATTATATTCAACAGATTTTTATGTGCTATTATTACTCTAACTCATTTTTCTTAGTGCTGTTGTAACATCTGAATTTCCCCCTTGGAGATTATTAAAGTCTTTTCTTTTAAATTAATATTTTATGTGGGCAAAATCTTCCATATTGTAACTGTTGTTTTTCCTTTCTTAAATTTGGTTTTTCTTGTATCACTTGGTACACCATAGTATTTTGTCAAAGCCATATTTTGTCAGAATATTATAGGTACATTTGTCCTTCATTTTTCATTTACTGTGACATAAAATTAGGGTTTAATGTGACTTTTGCTTCAGTCCATATTAATATGATATTTACTGTATAATTACTTCTGGATTTTAAAGGCAGCATAATAAAACATTTGCTGTATTGTTACTGTCTCATTATATACTTTTTGGTTTTTGCAGGAAGTGTCAAGAGAAAACAGAACGGATGCTTGTCAACTACAGGAAATGGCTGCAAGGCCCTCACTGAGACACCAGAGGGCATAATTTTACAGCTATTCTGGTCTATAATGCTTTGCTCGCTTAGTTCTGCACCAAAGCCTGCTGATTGGTCCCAGAACCCACATGGCTTTGAGCAGTGACCAATAAAATTTGAGCTGATGAGGGGCTGTTGCTAAGGCACTTCAGAACTAAAAAAATAAATAAATAAAAATTTGTCAGCAGCAGAGCCGTCCACCATTTCACTCTCTCACTCCTCTGACTCCTCAACAGCTCTCCCTATGTCTCTACTTCTCACCGTGTTCTCTGCGCTGACAAGCTTTCCCTGTCTTTTATTGGTTGGCGATGGGTGAAATGAGCACAGGAGTGAGTGGTTGGCTATGTATTGTGAGCCACAAAGACTTAGACCCTCCCTCATGAACCAAGAGCTGTTAACCCCACCTTGCCCTGGTTACTCTGTCACTTGACATTTGAGATCAGGCAGCAGTCACTGCCTGTCTGTCACCATTTCACTGCCTTATTTCCCAAATCATCCAAAAAGATTGCAGGGTGTTCAGCTCCAGGAGGAGCCACAAAACCGAGAGTTACCTCTGCACTGATATTGTGATTACATGACATTTTTCTTTTATTAAGTAATTTCATATTGTGTTTCTGAGAATTCTGAAAAAACATGTGGCGACAAACAGGCAGGAAACTTGCACCGTTGTAACAGTGAACACAAAAATGATAGCAGCATGAAAATGTGCAGTTATTTCAGGGCAAAACGTAGCGGCTGGAAGAGAATCTTCTGCAGCTGTAGAGAGATTTAAAACACCTCCTCTACTGTATTGGCTGCATTCCAGCTCTCACTCTCACACACATGAACTATATACACAAACACACACACAGAGGAAGAGAAATAGAGCCCCTCCATGCCTCTCTGTCTGCTACATTTTCCCTCCTCCTACCTCTTCTTGTTCACTGCAAAATGTGAGCCAAGAGCTTCTCCCTCTCTCATTGGTTCATGTTGTGTGATTAGCAACTTGCCGGCCCGCCCCCATCGGTCTCTGAACATGGATCGGTCTGCTATGAGAGCCCCAGCATCAGAGAGTGGAGTGGAACCAGGAAGAGGAGGAGAGGGGAAGAAAAGGAGACTGAGGAGAGGATCAGGTGAGAAAGGTGGCGAGGAGTGAAAAGGAGGAAAAGGGGAGCAGAGGAGTGTGTGGACCAAAGAGAAGGAAGACAAAAAGCAGGTAAAAGAGAACTACAGAAGAGCAGCTAGATGGTCTTTTTACTTATGGCTTAATGGAAATATACTGCATGGACTACACAGTGTGGAGGAAGTGTGAATATGTGTGTTTCTATTTATTTTCTCCTCTGTGTTTGTCCATCGACATTTGTTGATCTTTATTTTTGTGTGTGTCTGTGTGTGTATGTGTTTTCTGTGTGTTATTGTTCTGAGCGAGCTGTCTTGGCTGAACATACTGCAGTGTGTGTCTGCAGACAGTGCTGCACATTCATGCATGAAGCTCACACACATACACACACACACACACACACACACACACACACACACGTAGTGTTCATGTGCAGGCACAGGAGTGCAAGAGCACAAATGTGAAATGATGAACTTAGTGCAGGAGAACTTGCGGTTACATGTGTTGTGGTTACATTTGAGCTCTGTGGAATGTTTAACTGTTGAATATCAGTGTCCCTGTGCATTTGTGTTTGTGGGGGGTGTCCAGTAATAAGAAGCTACAGTGTAATCAAGTGGGATGATAAAATTTCATTTATAATCTCTAAACTACTTTACATACAAGTTCAGTTCAGTTTTGTTGAACACATCTTACACAAATACCTTTTGGTTTTGGTGTGTTTTTTGATAAAACAATTGACTAAAACTCACACTTGTGTTGAGTTGTTTGAAACCAAATAAAAGACATCTAGGGTTACTGCCAGTAACACGCAACACAAACTCAACGTATGCTTTCAGGTGATGTGAGTGCCGGCTTAAGTAGCCACCTGGACGTGCAGTTCTAGGTTAAGTTCCCACACAAACCAGCTGCTTTACACACACAGACACGTGCATTCAGCCCCTTCTTCAAACCTATTAACCTGCTTCACTGTCTTTGTTCACAAAAAGCTGTACATTCCTGCATTGTTTGCAGAATACTCCCCTCTCTGTTGTTCTTGACCTTGCCTTGGTACGTTCCAGTACCCCTCAGAGAGCTGTGCTTTATGGAGCATACACTGGGAGAAGCTGCTGTTATAGAAAGAGAGAAGGGGATAGAGCAGGAGGAAGCGGGGCTGCAGGGGTGTTATTTTTAGAAATGTGATTGATATTTGGCTTATACTGTACTTTCTTTCTCTGTGATTGTGACATTATTTCAGCCCTGGATTCAGTAAAATCATACTGTACGTGTGCGGGTGTTCACAGTGGGTTGTCAGTGCAGTCACTGTCTGTCAGTACATTGTCGCTTCTCGCTTCCCCTCCATCTGTTCTCCTCGTGTTAGCTAGCCTAGGAGCCACCAGAGATAGGCCTGGTCTGGTGCAGCCCATCCTTCCTTTTATGGTATAGCAGCAGTATCTTTAGTACTGTACACAGACACACACAGATATAAAGTCTCAGCAGGAGATGCACATCTGCAGTGGTCCCCTGCAGCTAGCAAAGGATTCCCAGTAGTGTGAAATATGCAAGAATGTGTTGATTTGTCCAGATGATATGATAAATTGGAGTGTGTTTGCAGAGCTGAGGACATTCTTCACTCCTGTTTTTCATTCGACTGACAGAGGTGCTGTTTCAATGACGCAGACATGTACGGAGAGTGGATAGAAAAAGGAAGGTAGAATGAGGAAGTAAACATTAAACCCCATCAAGTGTCTTCAGTCCACCCTTTCCCTCCCTGTCATCATCACAGACACATGTAAACTCTCCCCTCCTAGCTTGAGGCCTTGCTCCCAGCTCTGGACTAAATGATATCATCGGTTGCCAGGGATACAAGGACACAGCGTGCAGAGAAAAGGGAGGGTGAGGCATAGGCAGAGCCATATACACAGCCTGAAAGAGGAAGGAAAGAGGCTGGGATATTGGGTATCAAAAAAAAAAAAGGAGCCTTGTTGAAATGAGAAGTGAAGATAGTGAAGGCGATGGGGCAGAGCAATGAGGAGGAAAGGCACGAGAAAAGAAAACCTGCCAGCCTAACAAATGTTACTGGCTCATCCTTCCTCTCCCCTCTCTCCTACATCTCTATTTTATTCTCTTTTCTTTGTCTAGAGAAGGTCAGAATTGCAACAGATCAGATACTGTATGTATGAAAGCATGTGTTATAGTGAATGAGAGACAATAATGGAAAGGAAGAATTGCAGCAATACCTGAGGGATGGAGGAGAGATACTGCCCATGATTTAAAACAATAAAACCTTCCTGTCTGGTACATGTGTGCTACAACTGACTACGGTATTTCCTGTCACTCTGTGTGTCTGTACGTGTTTGCCAGCTTGCGGAGGATGTGCATGTTTATTTAAAGGTATCTGAGGCTGTACAGCATTGCTGGCTTACTGTTCCTGACTGACAGCTTCATCGAATTTGGACCAGAGGGTCTGCCTCCCCCTTTTCTCTTAGTACACATTGCAAGGTAAGATTGGTTACACAAATGCACCTGAACACACATATGTCATATGTTTATATATATATATACTGTATATATATATAGGTATGTGATTTACATTATCACACAAATAGAAGTTTCAGCTGCCACAGTTATCCTCTGTAGTGACAGAGGTGACCAGAGTTTCCTTCGTGACAAAAGGGAGGGAGGAAGCATACAGAGGGGTGCACACAACACTTTTGACCTACAGCACCAGTGGGTGTCAACCGATAACACACCAGCAAAATCATTTTAAGATTGTATTTGTAAGCATCATTTGTACACAAATATTTAGCAGTACACAGATTCTGTTGTTTACATTGCATGTTCTTTCTTTAAGGTTATCTTATTGTGAAGGAAAGAGTTTACCCTACGTTTGTGCATAACATCATCTGTACTCTGCGCTCAATTCCAGATGTTTTAAATTAACCCTGCGCAGATGGCTTTAATATTGCAAGCACAGAGCCATTCTTGTGTAGAGTCAAATTTGAGCTGCTGTTGACTGACAGCTTCCCCTACAACACAACACAAAAGTGTGTGCTTTAGTGTGCAACGGGGGGAGTCTACAACAGATGGTCTATCTGCTGTCTGTGTTATGTTGCTCAAATACAAACAAGCACAGGGTTCTGTTACAATAAGGCGTCTTTTTTTTTGGTCAAAGAAATAAAATAAAAAATGCAACACCTCACAAACAGTGAAAAACATTTCACATGTTTGAATGAAATAAGCACATGGTGAAACTCTTTATCACAATGCAACACTGACAGTTATAAGCTGCAATTCTGGGACACAAACTCAAACAAGCAAGTTTGAGAATAAAGTCCTATAATCAAGACCCCAAAGAAGGAAAAGTATTCTATGCTGCTGATTGGTTTAAAAGTATTTCACTGTAGCACTGTATGCTCATAAAGGCTGTTTGTGTATTTGTTCTATGAAAATTAAATCTACATGTAAAAGTGGTTGACTCTAAAGAGCCTGCAGCCACAGCAGTGTGAACTGTCTGGCTTCAGTCACTGTAGCAACTTGTCGGCAGCTTCCTTAGCTCATTAGTTATTAGAGGCTAGCAACCATCTTACCACATGTGTGGAGCAAATGTGCAGTACCAAAAAATGTACCACTGGGGAAGTGGTAAAATTTTGCACAGCAGTTCTTTATAGGGTTTATAAATAGCTCTGCGAAATGAATGCATACCAGGTGCAACTTAGCATCACTACACTTGTGCATGCAAAGCTGATCTTTACAAGGTCAGCACAGTGTACCCAGCTTGGAAGTGTTTGGCAGCAGCAGTAGAGACAGAGATCTTTCCTGTCTGTGATAGAAGCGGCAATTGTAGGAAGTAATTCTGGTTAAAACAAAGGCAGAATCAGAAGAGGAGGCTATGGATTAGAAACTGTGATCCAACAATAAGTGAACAACTTAAATTTGTGCAGCAACACAACCAGCCAGCCTTCTGACCTGGTATGGTGGGTCAATACGCTCTGTGCCTCTAGAAGTTTGTGTACTTGTAGCAAGCAAAAGGAAGAAGCATAGATCTAGAAGATGGGACATCTAAACCTATTCACCACCAGTTCTCTCAAAAAAATAAAGGAATCAGGGCTTTTACTGAAGAGTAAAACAGATTCTACAGCAGCACCGCCTGCCACATTTCTTTTTTCTTATTTGCTTTAAAGTGAGGTTGCCATAGTCTTTTGTCTTACTGCCATATGTTCTCATCATTGGATGGCCACAGGCGGTGGCTGCTGGGAAGCAGTGATTGGAGAGAGGTTGAATGTACAGTGCAGCTCTGGCTGACTGATGATTTGACTGCTGAACAGATACAGCACAGTCCAGCAGTAAATACAGCATGAGGAAATTAAATCTATGAGTGATACAATGACATGTTAGTCCTGATGCAGTTCACACACTCAAGGATACAAAGCTTATTTGCTATTAAGCCCAAACAAAAGACACTACTGTGTAGAAATGGAGTATATACAGAATATGTGTCTCAACCATGTGTCTTGTCCACAGGTTGTTTATTGCTCTCTGGTGTGGAGGGCCTCCCAAATACAGACCAAGACTGGTAACCACTATGTTTCTGTCTCTGTACTTTGTGGGTGTGGTGTTTATGTGTGGGGGTTTGGCGATTTACGTACAAAAACATGCAATGTGCACCACTGTAGTACTTCAGAGCATCACAGAAGTACTAACTGGATTAGAGATTTACAGTGCAGTACTTCCAATGTACTAATCAAGCTAAGGCATTGTATAAGACATAGACTATTGTCTGCTGCCATAAGTTGTGGGTGCAAACAAAGCTCATCAATTACTGCAGATGTCACAGATTAGAGAAATATGACAATGCAGAAATGTACACCATTAACTGTTTTGCACAGCCAAAATGTCATCAAACCCAAATCTTATCTGGGCATGAGTTACTCTATTAGTGTTCAGCTGTTACTATAATTGGATTTTACTTTACTTGACTTTACTAGGGTCCTTCCCGTAGGGCAGGGATTCTCACCCTTTTGTAGCTTAAAGCCCACTTTTGATTGTTAAAAAAATGTCTGACGACCACTTTGTCAAATAAATGAAAAACAAAAAACAATGTACTGAGTGTATGTATTTAATGTCACTGCACACTTTGGAGCTTTTACTGGTGCAGGGTTTTCTCCCACATCACTTTTTGTTTCAAAAACCAATCCATTCTGCGTCACTTAAAAGGAGGTGTTGGCTGGCTAGCTAGCTAACAGCAATAAAACAGTTTTGACTTCCTGATGAGTGTCATGAGTGGCGTTGTGATATTCAAACATATGTCACTGAAATTATAGATTTTAATTTTATTTTATTTTATTTATGTGAACTGAGCACATTTAGTAAATACTAATTTAACCCTTTGCAGTGTTTCTCCACGGCCCAGCAGTGGGCCACAGCCACAGGTTGAGAATGACTGCTGTAGGGCTTTTCATGTAATTAGTCAGTAAGTAGAACAGGTTTATGACTCAGCATTAAGGAACTAAAGCCCCCCCTTATAGTTGCCATACATTGTGCATGTGTAAGAATTATTCACAAATTAAAATGACATCTACGGTTAAGAGTGGTGTTCACTGGCATTGCATATGCAAAGATCTGAGTGGTTGAAAGTAGCAGTATTTTTAAATTGCATTTTATTCAGTCAGACTCATACTTATTATTATTATTCAAACTCTTAACATTATACACTTTTAACACCATCTGTGTTTCAGGCTGCATGTATCACCCACCCGAGCTGTACTCTGGCCGTAATACATGGGACTCCTACCCAGCTGGAGGACCTAACAGAGGACAATGGGCTCCTGTAAACAGTCGCCCGTGGAGCCACCCGCAAAGGTCAGCAGCACCATCACAACACATACTGTATACGAAAATAATGTTACTGCAGTGTTGCCTTCATTTCTGAAAGGACAGCATTCCATTCAGAGGGTCACATACATCCTTTCAAATGCAGTGTATAGCCTCTTATGTATTTACTGTACCATAGTGTAGTTAAGTCTTTTACTGACCATGCATTTGCTAAAACATCATTAAGACTACAGTATTCTTCAGTGCAGTTAGCATTGTTGGTTGTAACATTCACACTATGACAAAAATGATTTTGACACAAAGAAAATTTGAGAAAATGGCCAAAGCCTAAGATGAATTGAGAGAGAAGTCTCAGTCTGATTATTCAGCTGCAGCAGCTGAGAGTGGCTTTAATGAATGTGATTCTAACTGCAACTTCTGTATATGTGTGACTTTGATTGTGGCTTTTAACAGCAGAAATCACTGTGCCTGTAACAAAGAGGTATGACTACAAACACTAAACTAGAGAAATGCATTTCCTGTTGAAAATGTGTGTGGATGCTAATATGCTGAAGGATCGCGCTGAAAATACTGAACATTTTGACACCTGAATGGTTTGATAGCTGAAAGTATGCTGAAGTTGAATTTTCCCATTCATTTGAATGTAGCAAAATTTTCAGAATAAAACTAAAAATTTTAAAAAGTGTGAAGTTAACAAATATTCTGAATAGAAGCATGAATGTCCATGAAGAGCTGAACATTTTGATAGCTGAAAGTATGCTGAAGTTGAATTTTCCCATTCATTTGAATGTAGCAAAATTTTCAGAATAAAACTAAAAATTTTAAAAAGTGTGAAGTTAACAAATATTCTGAATAGAAGCATGAATGTCCATGAAGAGCTGAACATTTTGATAGCTGAATGTATGCTGAAGTAGAATTTCCCCATTCATTTAAATGGGCAAAACTTTGCTAAGGAACACTAAATAGTTTAAAAAGTATGAAGTTTAGGAAAATTCTGAACAGATCCGCACATCCAGAAAAAGCTGAACATTTTGATACCTTAATGGTTTTTCTAGCTCAAAATATGCTGAAGTAGTTCAGGGCCAAAAAACATACGGAAGAATAATAATAAAGACCAGGAAAGCATATTGTGGATGTTGAATCAGCATCCACACAATAATAAATTGATGGGAAAAATGCTCATAGCGTAGACTTGACTGGTTTTGCACAGCAACATACAGCACTATAGGCTGGTAGGTTCTGTGAAAATGTGATCCAATCCATCTGAGAAATAGCACCACAGTTTTCTTTTAAAAGTCCAATTAAACACTTGAATGTTTATGGCTTTATTTATAACAGAGGAAGAAGAACCGATATCAATTACTGAGTTGTCAAGTTTAAAAAGTTCAACAGGGTCACAGCGCTCTACACAGGGTTAATGGGTCCTTCAGAGGCACTTAGTGAACTAGCTATGCCAATGCAGTGAGATCAGAGTTTATTGCTAAAACAGATTTTTTAAAATGACTTGTTATTGTTCATTAGAGTTAAAGAGATGTTCCTGAAGTAACAAATTGTTTTTGAGTGTTGCCAAAGTCATTATCACCAGCGAGGTACCCTTGATCAAGACATAAAAAGAATGACCATAGTCACAAGACAAAGTAATAGCACTATTTGCAATTTTCTAGTTTTCAGCATAAATTGGTCATGAAATGTAATCTGATCTTCACCAAAGCCACAAAATATGAACAAACACAATATTTTTAAGCTAGTAAAACACAAAGTCATGATCTTTCATGTCTTTATTGAACACACCCATTACAAACATACAAATGTGTGTACAAACTTGTTATTAAACAGTGTTTTAATAACAGGTTCAACCACCTTTGGTAGCAATAACCTCAAGCAAGCACTTCCTGTAGCTGATTAGACCTGAACAACATTCAGAAAGAATTTTGGACTATTGTTCCTAAAGAACTGCTTCAGCTCAGCCATATTCTTAGGACGTCTGGTGTGAATGGCTCTTGAGGTCATTCCACAGCATCTCTATTGGGTTGAGGTCTGGGCTCTGACCGAGCCACTCCAAAAGGTGGATTTTGTGTCTTCAAAGCCATTTTGTAGTAGATTTACTTTGATGTTTAGGGTCATTGTCCTGCTGCATAACCCAGCTTGTTCTGAGCTTCAGCTTTCAGACACCCTGACATCATCCTGTAAGATACCTTGATAAATTTGGGAATTAATTTTCCTCTACACAAGGGTAAGCGGTCCAGGTCCAGAGGCAGCAAAGCAGCCCCAAACCATGAGGCTCCCTCCACTGTATTCCACTATTGGAATGATGTTTTCATGTTGGTAAACAGTTCTCTTTTTATGCCATACGTAGTGCTGTGTGTTCCTCCCAAACAATTCTACGTTTGTTTCATTTCTCCACAGGACATTTTCCCAGTAGTGCTGTGGAGTGTCAAGGTGGTCTCTGGCAAACTTTGAGCCCACTACAATGTTGTTGGTAGACAGCAGTGGCTTCCTCCATAGTGTCCCTGCCATGGATATCATGCCTGTTCAACAATATTTTTCCTGTGGTTGAGTCATGAACAAAGATGTTAACCAAATGCAGTGAATCTTTCAAATCTTTACCTGTTAGTCTAGGGTTTTTTTTTTTTTTTTTTTTTTTTTAACCTCATTCTGCCTTGTGCCTTTGGAATGATCTTGGCTGGGCACCAACTTCTATGGAGCGTAGCCACAGTAGCAAATCATCTCCATTTATAGACAGTATGTAACTGTGGACTGATGGATATCTAAAGTCTTTAAGATGACTTTGTGACCTTTTCCTGCTACATGCAAATTGACAACGCTTGATCGTAGGTATTCTGAGATCACTTTTTTATGATACAGTGCCTTGCGAAAGTATTCGGCCCCCTTGAACTTTGCGACCTTTTGCCACATTTCAGGCTTCAAACATAAAGATATAAAACTGTAATTTTTTGTGAAGAATCAACAACAAGTGGGACACAATCATGAAGTGGAACGAAATTTATTGGATATTTCAAACTTTTTTAACAAATAAAAAACTGAATAATTGGGCGTGCAAAATTATTCAGCCCCTTTACTTTCAGTGCAGCAAACTCTCTCCAGAAGTTCAGTGAGGATCTCTGAATGATCCAATGTTGACCTAAATGACTAATGATGATAAATAGAATCCACCTGTGTGTAATCAAGTCTCCGTATAAATGCACCTGCACTGTGATAGTCTCAGAGGTCCGTTTAAAGCGCAGAGAGCATCATGAAGAACAAGGAACACACCAGGCAGGTCCGAGATACTGTTGTGGAGAAGTTTAAAGCCGGATTTGGATACAAAAAGATTTCCCAAGCTTTAAACATCCCAAGGAGCACTGTGCAAGTGATAATATTGAAATGGAAGGAGTATCAGACCACTGCAAATCTACCAAGACCTGGCCGTCCCTCTAAACTTTCAGCTCATACAAGGAGAAGACTGATCAGAGATGCAGCCAAGAGGCCCATGATCACTCTGGATGAACTGCAGAGATCTACAGCTGAGGTGGGAGACTCTGTCCATAGGACAACAATCAGTCGTATACTGCACAAATCTGGCCTTTATGGAAGAGTGGCAAGAAGAAAGCCATTTCTTAAAGATATCCATAAAAAGTGTCGTTTAAAGTTTGCCACAAGCCACCTGGGAGACACACCAAACATGTGGAAGAAGGTGCTCTGGTCAGATGAAACCAAAATCGAACTTTTTGGCAACAATGCAAAACGTTATGTTTGGCGTAAAAGCAACACAGCTCATCACCCTGAACACACCATCCCCACTGTCAAACATGGTGGTGGCATCATCATGGTTTGGGCCTGCTTTTCTTCAGCAGGGACAGGGAAGATGGTTAAAATTGATGGGGAGATGGATGGAGCCCAATACAGGACCATTCTGGAAGGAAACCTGATGGTGTCTGCAAAAGACCTGAGACTGGGACGGAGATTTGTCTTCCAGCAAGACAATGATCCAAAACATAAAGCAAAATCTACATTGGAATGGTTCACAAATAAACATATCCAGGTGTTAGAATGGCCAAGTCAAAGTCCAGACCTGAATCCAATCGAGAATCTGTGGGAAGAACTGAAAACTGCTGTTCACAAACGCTCTCTATCCAACCTCACTGAGCTCGAGCTGTTTTGCAAGGCGGAATGGGCAAAAATTTCAGTCTCTTGATGTGCAAAACTGATAGAGACATACCCCAAGTGACTTACAGCTGTAATCGCAGCAAAAGGTGGCGCTACAAAGTATTAACTTAAGGGGGCTGAATAATTTTGCACGGCCAATTTTTCAGTTTTTTATTTGTTAAAAACGTTTGAAATATCCAATAAATTTCGTTCTACTTCATGATTGTGTCCCACTTGTTGTTGATTCTTCACAAAAAATTACAGTTTTATATCTTTATGTTTGAAGCCTGAAATGTGGCAAAAGGTCGCAAAGTTCAAGGGGGCCGAATACTTTCGCAAGGCACTGTACATGGCTCACATCAGCCAATGCTGGTCGTCAATAGCACACTGACAATGAGTGTTTTTATACATCAAGGTAGTTCTAAACCACATCTCCATTCTTGTTTCATTGATTGAATTCCAGGTTTGCTAACTCCAGTTGACATTTAGTGACACCAGAAGACTGGAGTTGCAATTGCTTTTTCCACCATCAGTTTGTATGTTTAATGGGTGTGTTCAATAAAGACATGGCTGTTTGTGTTTTATCAGCTTAAAAATATTGTTTGTTGATATTTGTGATTTTGATGAAGATCAGATCACATTTTATGACCAATTTATGCAGAAAACCGAGAAACTGCAAACAATGCCAATACTTGTTAGGAACGCTCTGGTAGGGAGGTGAGCGAGTAAAAAATGACGGACCCAGGTAGCTGACTTCGGTGCAAGAAGTGCTCTATTTATTTACAGTGACAATAAATATGTGTACAACCAGGTGAAGGAATACGGAGCAGAACCGGGTGTCGAGCGGCAGTCTACAGTCAGTAATGAGATGATAAGGAGGAGGCTGGGCTGCGGACGCTAGGATTCACTCCTGGACTGGTCGTGGTGGTTGGTTGCTGAGGGACAAAGTCAGAGAAACAGTTAATGGGAGACTGTGCATCGACCTGCGTGGTGGAGTGATGTGGAGTTGAGGAGGTCCATGGTCCGGAGAAGTGATAGTGGCTGGGAGGATAAGACGAATGAAGCTAAAGACTGGAACAGAGCTAGGGTGACAAAACGTGAAGATACTATACAGTAAAAGAGAACGGGAAACAAACGGGCCTGATAACGCTAGAAAGAACTGGCAGGGGAGTGAACGTAGAGCAGGGAATAAATAGGGAGAACTAATCAGGTGCAGCTGGTGGTAATCAGGGGATATGAAGCAGGTGTGTCGGATAACGTCATCAAGGTAAGGGAGCAAAAACAGAGTGAGGGGAGTGAGAAGGCAGGTGCAGCCGGGCAAACCTGACAATACAAAATATATTTAAAATATCTTAGAACAAGTCTAATAGATCAACAATTTATATGTTTACACATACTTTATCAAAATATGTTAGCATCATAAAGCATTTCATT